CATTGTCCTGGACTCCTGCTGGGCTCTGGTCTGCAGTGTCGTTGGCCAGCAACAAAACATATTTGAGGGTGCTGGGCTGTACCCCTCAGCCTTACGCAGCCTCATCGGCCCACCCCAGGCCTCTCTGACCTCCAGGGCTGTGTGGTCCTTACTGGCCCTAGCATCCTCTGTCCCCCCTGGTGGGTTCTTCCCAGACCCCAGGCCAGGGGTTAGAGACATCCTGCTGGCCCCTAGCAAGGCCATCTGTAGCTTCTGGAGAGTTCGTGGCTGGTTGAGCAGTGTGCCTATGGTGGTCTGTTGAAGCCTGGGGATGATGGTGACTGTCTGGTGCTGGACAGCTAGGAAGGAGCTTTGTCTGACCAGCTGCACCTGTTCAGGGCTGCAGGGGCCCAGGTGCCTGACCTACTGCTTTGTTAGACATCCCAACCATAAGCGGATGGCCCGCTGCTCATGTTCTGGACATCATCACGGGTGCCTCTGCCCCAGCTCCACCCATTCCTTTTCCTGCGCCACCTCTCCCTGCCTCCTACATCCCCTGAGTCTGCCTTGTCTCTCTCTGTGTCCCCCACTTAGGACTTTGTCCATGTGAGCCCCTCTTCCTGTCCTCCCACCCCAATACTGCAGGAGACAGAGTTTGCCCAGACCCTCTGGGGCCCACACAGCCTTGACCTTGTGGTCTAGAGGCCATTGCTTCTGGGTCCAGGCTGGGCTGTGGCAGTCTGTATGTCTTCCCTGAGAAGTGAGCCTGGCATGTGGCACAGCAGGGGGTGTTCCCACGTGGTCCTCACCCACCCATTTGCCCCGGCAGGACCTGGATCCTGCTCACAGGAACGCAAGCTGGGCCCTCTCCCAGGGACTTTGGTGGGCTGGGTTGTAGGTGCAGCACACGCTTTTTGGACTGTTGGCGTTCACCCCAAGTGCTGTCCCCTCATCCTTAAGGTGGGCACCATCCCCTCCTAGGAGAGGCGCTTGAGTGTCCCATCATGTGCTGGTGAGGAGGAGGCCTGTGCAGTCCCAGCCATCCTGGCTGACCACTGCCCCCACAGGGCCATAGCACATGCCTTGGCACACAGGAGCCTGGTCCCACAAGGTGAATGCAGAACACTGGTGCTTAGAACTCTTGTGCAGCATTAGAGGAGCCTGACCTTCAAGGCAAGCTTGTCCCTGGTTGGGCTGGGGCCTCTGCCCCTTTCCATGCAAGCCAGAGTCAGGGATTGACTGTGCCCTTGACCTGACCCCTGCTGCAGTGCAGGCGGAGGCTGTGTGTCCCCCACCCCCAGCTCAGGGACACTAGGAGTATTGGGTTACTATTATCCCTTAGTTATTTCAGACTGATCATGTTCACAATCTCCCCAAACAAGTGGGCAGCGAAGGCTAAATAAAAGAGACAAATGGAATGATTTCAGGGCTCCAGGAGGATCAAAACCCTCCCATGGAATTCGAGATTCTCTTGGGGTTGAGACCAAGACCTTCTCTGGGCAGCCAGTATTTATTTAGTTATCAGAACAAGGGAGGGGAATATGCAAGTAGGGTGGGAACCACTCAAGGACTTCTCCAAGTAAGGCATTATGTTAATTTAGGAGAGCTATGTTAACTCCAGGAAGGTCTCTACCCAGAAGAGAGATGCCTGAGGCTACAGTCTTTATCCAGTTGAGATTGGAACCAGGTGTCCTTGGCTGTGACATTTCTTATCCTTTGAGGCTTCACAGCTTCACCCACCATTATAGACCTCAGTAGGGATCAGTGACTCAGAGGTTCACTTACTGAGTCCCATCTCCGGACAAGGGGCCTAGGCCTTGGACAGACTCACAAGTAAACATGGAAAACCAATTGGTTAATTTAAATTCTGCTCAGAGCTGCTTCATGGTGGTCTCCATCATAGGAGCAGGGCTGGCCTCTGGTCCCCCACAGAATTGGACCCTGGCCCCTGGCCCCTCCAGGACTGGCCCCCAGGTGCTGGTCCTCTGAGAAAGCAGGGACCAAGGTGCCCCAGGAAAACCTCCACCCCCTGCCATTGCCACCCATAGGCAGGTGTGGGAAACATCTTGCAGGCCATGGCCTGGGATGTCCCGGGGCAGCCAGGATGGGTGGACATCAGTGTTTGGCAGCTGGAGTGTGAGAAGGGGGCTCAGTAGGAAGGAAGGCCATGGGGATCTCATGAGTCAGTTCCTGGGAGAAGGGTGGGGACCACCCAGGGCAGGCGATGTTCCCTGTGCCTGGGAGCCGCATTACAGGGACTTGGCTGCCTGGGAATTCACTGGGAGGGGCCGCACATGTGTGTCGCTGAAAGCTCCTACCCCTCTGTTCTGAAGCCATGCATATGAGGGCATTTGTCTGTACACAGCATGGGTTGGGCATAAACTACTGCCACAGAACCCAGGATTGCTGGCCCACAATGCCCATTGTGGCCTCTCTGATCCTGTCTCAGAGCTGGTGGTGGTGGCTTTGTGCTTAGGAACCGCAGGTCCAAGTTTGTCTGCGGATGGGTGTCCTCTGCAGTGGCCTCTGCCAAGCACAGTGAGATACTGCCAGCCGGGGGGGTGGGTAGCAGGGCCCTGGCCAGTGATAGCAACCCTGGTCCATTATAGAAACCTTGGTCAGATATAGAAAACTTGGTTAGTTATAGAAACCCTTGTTGGTTATAGCAGCACCGATTGGTTGTCACAGACTTGACTGCTTATTGTAGCCCCAGTTGGTTATTGTAATCATGATTGGTTAGTGCAGCCCTGGGCAGTTATAGCAGCCCTGGTTGGTTGTTGTAGCCATGGTTGGTTATAGCAGCACTGGTTGGTTATAGTAACCCTGAGTGGTTATTGTCGCAGTGGTTGGTTAGCAGGCCAGTGATTTAGCTCAGTGATGCAGTGCCTGCCTGGCAAGCCTCAGGTCCTGAGTTTGATTCCCAGTACTCCCCTCAAAAACCTGTAACTACAAGCCGTGGTTGGTTAGTGTAGCCCTGTCAGTTACTGCAGCATGGCTGGTTATCTTGTGTTGGGAGTGTGCCCAGGGACAACCCTGGTCTATGCAGGTTTTCTTCTGTGGTGCTGGGCACTGTGTCCAGGGCCTCCCGATGCTCTGCCGAGGAGCCTCCCAGCCTCTTTCTGTCCTGGATTCTGTGAGCCTCCCATGTCCACCCTGTGCTCTGTAACAAATGCAAGATGCCAAAAACGGTGCTCAGGTGATTTTTAAAATTGGCTTTGGGTCTCACATGGTAGAAAGGGCATGGGCAGCTGGGGTCAGGATGTGAAACTCCAGCCCGGCCCACCCATCACACCCGGGTCTCAGACCCCTGCACCCCTACACCTCCGCCTCCTGCACCCTCCTGGGAGCTGCCACTGTCTAACCTGCAGGGTCTTGGGATGACGCAGAGCACTTCCCAGGAGTACCGCTGGTGGTCAGCTGGCTCTGACTGAGGGGATATCACTGCCCCCCTCACCTCTTTAGGAAAGTTGTCTCGAGTCACACAGGGCCCAACTGTGGCTGAGCCCCAGGTGCGGTATCTAAGACATCACCTTGTCTCAGGTGCAGCCTCAGGATGGACGTGCTGAGGCGCAGCTGCTGCACTGGGTCCCTGGCCTTTCTGGCCAGCAGTTGCTGGTGACGGGGCCACAGCCCCAGGTGACAGTTAGCTTTCTGTCCTGAGATGATCAGCTTGAGAGCAGCAACATGACATGGTGCACAGCTCTGGAGGCACCAGGCCTCATGGCACCGGGCCTGGGCAGCACGGCATGGTGGCACATGGGGCAGAGCCACTGTCCTCTGGCCGGGAAGCACAAGAGGAGGCATCAAGGGGCCCTACGTGCCCCTCCTAGTAGTTTGGCCACCTTCCAGCAGCAGCAGCTGGGTGAGGGTACCTGAGGGCACCCCAGATCCAAGCTGATGCTCAGCCCCGCAGCCACTGCCTTGGTTTCCAGGGCAACGGTGTCTCCACAGGCAGCAGACTCGACGCCTGGACATGCAGCCGGGTGTGGGACCCCAGCACCAGCGCTTGAGTTCCCCTTGAGGTCCGGGATCCCCATACCTGATGGAAGCCCTCGACTGTGGCTTCACAGGATGTTTTGATTTTGTAGAAAACTTTTAATCAAAAGTTAGGATTTTAGCAGTTACTGGGCTTCATCTTGATGTCCACCTGGGTGAGCACCCGTCCAGTCCCTCGAGACGGACAGTGTGCCATGTAGTATGGATGAAGGGTCCCTTGGGCCCGGAGCAGACCCTGAGGACTGTGCATGTTCCTTCACCTGGGAAACGGCCTCCAAAGCATGCTGAGTGCTGCCTTCCTGACCACCCAATGTGCGGGTGGAGATATGAAGAGAGAAAGGCACGGGTGACCCCAGGGATCCTGAAATGCCGGGGTGCGTTTCCTGACAGCACCATGGCACGGCCAGCAGGGGCATCATGCCCCTCAGGCTCTTGCTCATGGGGTCTCCGTCAAGGCAGGCATCTCCTCCGCCCCCGGCTGTGTCCATTCCAGAGCCCCCCAGCCCAGCATTGCCTCAAGCACGGGTCTGGGGCTCCACTCCACAGCTTCCTGCACACTTCCTGTTTCTTCCTCTGTGTCCTGTGCGTCTGTCACTCTTGGTGGGAACCACGTGAGCTTGTGTTCTGCACATTTTCTTGGGTAAAGTGTTGCTCAAGTGTGTTCAAAGTCCTTCCCGTCTTTCCATAACTGGTCCTGAGATCCACTCCTGGTGGCTGGCAGCTCTGTGCCTCAACCCAGCCTTGGAGGAGGTGATGTCCCCTCAGTGGCTCCATGGGACACTGCCGTGGGTGCTGGGGACTGATTTGGTGAGGGCTCTGTGGGCTGGTGGGAGCAGGGGCAGGGAGCCATGCAGGCAGCCGCAGCAGGTCCTGGAAGGAGCCTGACATGGCGGCTGTCTGCGTTCTGCATGAGGCTGGGGTTGGGACTTTCGTCCCAGAGAGGTGCCCTGAGGCATGCAGGATCGTGCATGTCTCCCTGCCTGCCCAGCTGAGCCTGGGTCAATCGCTGCCCTGTCCCCCTGCAGGAGCTGCCCAGTGAGGACCCTAAGGAGGGGCTTTTCCAGGAAGACCAGGGCCCCTTAGAAGGTGAGTTTGGTCCCCGAGCTGCTCCTCCCGGCCCCTCAGATGTCACTGTCCTCTGCGAGGACATCCTCTTACAGGCACACACATAGTGGGCTCCATACCAGACATGAGCTGGACCTGGCCATAGAGACACAGAAGTCAAGCCGTCTCCCCAGTGCTGGCTTATGTCATGGCTAGTCTTGGGAGCCCCTGTCTGGGCGGGGAGGCTGGCTGTGTGGACCGGCACCACGGCTGAGGTTGTGTGCTGCCGGGGTGGTGACTCGTCAGGCCCTGGTCCCTGCTGTGCATGTGGTCTTTGATGCAGTCCGTCCCCATGCAGAGTGACAGGTCACCACAGGACTCCTGGGAAGCGGGACTGTACAGATGGGAGGGGCTGATGGTGCTGAGACCCCAGCCCCAGCCTGCTGGACAGTCTCAAGCACCCTTGCTGTGAGGGGCTGGGCTGCTCCCTGGAAGCTGCTGCGAGTGGCACAGGGCCAGGGTGGGGGGGCTGGGGGAGGCGGAGTGTGCCCTGGCCGAGGGTTCCCTGCCCTCCTTGCTCCACAGCAACGGGCTTTCTGCTCGGGCCACTGGGAGGGGTTGGCGGCTTGGCAAGGGAGGCAGCAGCCCCTCCCCCACCTCTCCACCATCCCAGGTCACCCCCTGGGCTGGCCCGTCTCTCACCCTGACTTGTCCCACAGTGGCTCTGCCCCTTGAGAAAGCTGAGGGCCACGAGGGCCCAGGACAGCTCCTTGGTGTGGATGATGGTGAGAGGGCAGCAGCCCTCGAGGGCCCGCGAGGAGGGGCCAGGAGGCGCCTGAACATTGATGTAGGTCTCGCCCCTACCCATATGTCCCTGGGTCTCAGCTGAGCTCTCTGGAGTTGGGAGCCTGACAGTCCTGTGGCCTCTTCTCATTCTGGGTGACACTGCTGAGCACTGGCACAGGCAGAGACAGCATCGTGGGCGAGAGGGTGGAGCTGGGTGAGCGTAGATCTGGAGGTGCCAGGCCAGACCGTTGGCTGGGGGAACCTCAGCCCCATCCAGAGGAAATGGCCCAGGGAGGCGTCCTGGGTGGTGGGTCCCTGAATCGTGTGTGTAGAACCCCGGACCATGGAGAGACTGCCGGCCCCCATTCCTACTACACCTGCAGGCCCTCCAGTGCGACGTCTCTGTGGAGGAGGACAACCGCCAGGAATGGACATTCACACTCTACGACTTCGACAACAGTGGGATGGTCACCAGGGAGGTAACGTGCCTAGCACCTGTGGAGAGTGGGTTCGGGGTAGCTCAGGGTCTGGAAGAATCCAGCCAGCTCAGAGAGTAGGTAGCAGATGATGACACCCCATCCCCACAATGGGGATAGACCGAGCCCCACTGAAGGAGAGAGGGGAGGTCCAGGGTAGGGAGGAGGCACAGCAGAGGGGACCAACTGTGTGTCGAGGGCTGTGTCCTCATGCCGGCGACCCAGCATCCTCACAGGTAGCCTGGGCCCCGAGGGCCCCCTGCTCAGCCAGGCTCTGTGTCCAGGACAGCTAAGGGCCCCCTGAAAGGAAGCAGGCAGTGGGATACGGGATGTAACATGCGGAACAGGCATGTCTGGTCAAGGGAATCTGGTCATCGCCTGGCTGCCGAGTCCTTGGACATCAGTGCTGTGATGTAAAGGGTCAGAGAGATGTGAACTGAGGACAGCAGGGTGCACATCCTCAGGGTGACCCCAACCAGGACAAGGCCCTCCTGGCATGCCTGGGTGCAGCCACCTAGGACATGAGGCGAATGGAGCCTGAGGTGCCTAGGGAGGCTAGGGGTGGGCAGTGTTCCCTCTGAGGTCTGCTGTGTCATCCCAGGACATGTCCAGCCTAATGCACACCATCTATGAGGTTGTCGATGCCTCCATGAACCACTCTTCAGGCAGCAGCAAGACCCTTCGTGTAAAGCTGACCGTCAGCCCCGAGCCTGCAGGCACAAGGAAGGAGTGTCCTGCCAGCCAGGGTGAGGGCCCTGGGCAAGAGCTGCCCATGCTCAGTTGCTTCTGTCCCCGTGAGCACTCCCAGGGCAGCCCTCCCTCCAAAGCACCTGACACACCTCTCCCACACTGTGCCATAGCTCTTAGCATCATGTCACACCAAGGGTTATGCGTAACTGTGTCCAGCCCTTCCTGTGTACAAACCTCTCTCTGGTTACACAGCAGGCTGGACTGGCAGAGCTCAACATGATATGCTTAGTGAGAAGATGGGTGGATGAGTAAAGGATTGCATAATGAGTGAGTGAACATTACAGATGTTTGGATAAATGGGTGGATGGATGGGTGTTGAATGGGTGGGTAGATGGATGGATATTTGGATGGACAGATGGGTGGGTGGGTGGCCAGATGGATATTTGGATGGATGAATGGCTGGCTGGCCAACTGGGTGGTGGGTGTTTGGATGGATGGATGGATGGATGGATGGAT